GGCTAGTTTTTGTGCCTTATCATCCTTGGACAAGCCTTTTCCAACCTGAGAGAAAATTCAGGTAGAAGCCAGACCCAAAAAAAATGGAAGACATTAATAAAGATATGAGTTAGATTCCACAGCAATCCAGATTCTCGGTAGTTATAATAAAGTAATTGATGTATTCAGGTAGAGGTAAAGAAGAAAAGTGAACCTCATGTACATTCACACTTTTGTGTTATTCTTTCTCAAATGAATGATTTTACAAAGAGTCATATTCAAGCATGATGAAAGTAATTTATAGAAAATTGAATTTATAAGAAGATTGAATACCTTAGCTGCTCTTGTCCTTGCTCTTGCCCACCGTGACACCGCAGTTTCTTGTTTCGCGACATCAAAGAAGGATACAGAACTCCGTTTGAGGGCAGCAAAGTCTAGTGCCTTCCACCTAAATCCATTAACAACAGCCAATTAATAACACAAACGACAGGAATTCAAGCAAATAATACGAACAAATCAAATTGTATTGCTTATACCGAGACTACTAACCAGAGTTCCTCCACCACCACCGCACAGTCTGCAAGGTTTCTTCTAGTACGGTAACTTCTATAGACTTTCTGAAGCTTCGTTGCAGCAGCTTCAAGCTCACTGATGGGTCTGGGTGAAGAGAAAATTACTTCCTCAGGGAGAGACAATATAGGCACAGTTTTTCTTGGTAGACAATCAGAACGCATGTTCTCTTCAATACTTGAACGATTTCCTTCAAGAATTACATTTTCAGGTCTGTGATCCTTCAACTTGCTTGAATTTCTGGTGATGTCTGATTCTTTTTTCTCTAAGCTGCTGCTTGATCTTAGAATCTTAGCCCCATCTTTGGAAGCAAAACCGAAGTTGAAAGACCGACCAAATAATGAACGTCGAACAATCTCTTCCCAGGCTGATAAGAGTAAGGAAAGCGATAATCCCATAGAGCTGCAGATGTACACAGAAGCTAGCACTTCAATTTGTTTGAGCTTTGAAGAAAGCACCCACTTATGTTGATTCCTGCCCAAATTGAAGATTTGTCAGACAAAGCAAAGTATGAGAATATATATTCAAATGGGTCAGAACTGAATTATCGAATCTTTTTGCCAAATAAAGAAGTTCTTGTCATCGTCTGTTAGAAGAGGAGAATCACCAGACTTCAGACTAAAGAAACGAGAAACAACCACAATCAAGAATGAAGTGGTATGTTTCTGAAGCTTACTGAAAACATAATAGCAAACAGCTTTAAAGCAAAATATCTTTCGGTGAATAATTTACCTTCCTCTTCCCGGATGACTGGTCAAGATATCAGTCTGGTATGCTCAATAGAAATCAAGTCCAACCCCAAAAAAAAAAAATGGTGGAATATTGACAAGCTCTGGGTCTAGGGCACGAGTTCTATCAAATGTTTCGCGTCAAAAGCTTGAAAGACTCTTCTAACAAACATTTGCTGTAATGTACTTCAAAATTATAAGAGCTTTAAAAGAATAAATTATCAATTATATATTCTTATTGTAATAAAAAAGTATTGTAATTATAAAAATAAATAGTAATCTTAAAAAATACGGCAATGACAATAACTAGATATCACTTCTATGTATTGCGTAAAAGAGATGATGAGTTTCTCGAAAACTTTCACATGGAGAAATATTTTTTGAGTGAATTTACACTTTAACTTAAATAAATATATCACACTTCAATGTTTTGTGCAGCTCTATTCTCTTTCCTTTTTTTTTGAAAATTAAAAAGACCGATCCTATCATTCTAAAATTGGAGGAGTGAAGGACTCATGAGATTAAATCCCTAACTTATCATCAAAGGAATTTCAATGTTTCTGGATTACAACATAATTGGCTTCAACTCAGTAATTTAGATATTATTTGAAATAACTTATAAATAATTTTTTAATTGTAACTTATAAAATATAAAGTAAGTACATAATGAGAGTTTTGTTTCAATTTAAATAAACTTGCTTCTAAATACTTTTTGATCGCGCCTCCAAACAAACCCTTAATAAAGATTTATGGGAAAATTAATCTTTTGGTCCCTATAGTTTTCACTCATTTGTAACTCAGTCCTTATATTTTGACTCGGTGCAACTCAGTCCCTCTAGTTTTGACTCGGTTGTAACTCAGTCCTTGAAGTTTGACTCACTGCAACTCGGTCCCTATAGTTTTGTATATTTTATAATTTAGTCCCTCTTTTTATTAGATATATAATTTTATTTTTCAAAAACAGAAGGACTAAATTATAAAATATACAAAACTATAGGGACCGAGTTGCAGTGAGTCAAACTTCAAGGACTGAGTTACAACCGAGTCAAAACTAGAAGGACTGAGTTGCACCGAGTCAAAGTATAAGGACTGAGTTACAAATGAGTAAAAACTATAGGGACCAAAGATTAATTTTCCCAAGATTTATCCTCCAAAAGATGGATGACGCATTATTTTAATTTTAAAAAGAAGGGTAAGAGTGAGGATTATATTATGAGTTTTGAACAGTTGATGAAGGTACAGGATGGCGTCACCATTGATCAAAAAGCAGCAAAATAAGGACGAAAGATGGCATTGGTTAAGAGGTACAGCGTACTAAGGAAAAAAAAAGGGAAAATCACTAACAGGTCCCACAGAAGGCAATTTATTACTCTGAGGTCTCACGAAATGTCAAAATTACTGACAGGTCCCAAGGGACTTCATAGTAATATTTTCGTTTTGTAAAATGACATTACTGCCCCTTATATTCCAGATTCACATTTGCTCTGTCATTACGATTTACAACCTCAGCAGCGACTATTAACAACCTAATGAGAGGGCATTAACAACCCTAGCAGTATCCGTTAACAATTTACTTTATAGAATTATATAACCTCTACATAAGAGTAAATTATAACCAAATAATATAATACAACAATTTTAACACTAAAATAGGAAACTTTTTGATATCATTAAGAATTTTAACTAGATCCAATAGGATTATAGTAATATTTTAATGCGAACATCCATTTACAATCTCAACAGCGATTATTAACAACCGAATGAGAGGGCATTAACAACCTAAACAGTAGCCGTTAACAACTTATTTTATAGAATTATATAACCTCTGCATAAGAGTAAATTATAACCAAATAGTATAATACAACAACTTTAACACTAAAATGAGAAGCTTTTTGATATCATTAAGAATTTTAACCAAACCCAATAGGATCATAGCAACATTTTAATGCGAAAATCCATTTACAACCTCAACAGTAAGTATTAATAACCTAAGGAGAATTGTTAACAACCTTAGCAGTGTCTGTTAACAACTAACTTTATCGGATAATATAACTTCTAACTATAACTAACTAAACTATAACTAAATAGTCTTAAAGTTAATCTTATATAGTTGTTAGAGGTTATATTATTCTATAAAGTCAATTGTTAATAGATACTGCCTAGATTGTCAACAGCTCTCTTTGGGTTATTAATACTCACCATTGAGATTGTAAATGGATTTTCGCATTAAAATGTTGCTATAATCCTATTGGGTTTGGTTAAAATTCTTAATGATATCAAAAAGCTTCTCATTTTAGTGTTAAAGTTGTTGTATTATACTATTTGGTTATAATTTACTCTTATGCGGAGGTTATATATTCTATAAAGTAAGTTGTTAGCTGATACTGCTTAGGTTGTTAATGCCTTCTCATTCGGTTGTTAATAGTCACTGTTGAGGTTGTAAATGGATCTTCGCATTAAAATATTACTATAATCCTATTGGATCTAGTTAAAATTCTTAATGATATCAGAAAGCTTTCCATTTTAGTGTTAAAGTTGTTGTATTATATTATTTGGTTATAATTTACTCTTATGTAGAGGTTATATAATTCTATAAAGTAAGTTGTTAACGGATACTGCTAGGGTTGTTAACGCCCTCTCATTAGGTTGTTAATAGTCGCTGCTGAGGTTGTAAATCGTAATGACAGAGCAAATGTGAATCTGGAATATGAGGGGCAGTAATATCATTTTACAAAACGAAAATATTACTCTAAGGTCCCTTGGGACCTGTCAGTGATTTTGACATTTCGTGAGACCTTAGAATAATAAATTGCCTTTTGTGGGACCTGTTAGTGATTTTCCCAAAAAAAAAAGGACCAACACAACAACCAATGGCTGCTTTTATCCTTAGGTTTTACCAGAAAGCCTTCAGCTTCATCTTCATCATCATCACTGATGCCAAACAGATTTTGCAGTCTTCGTATATACTTCCATCCTGATATTATAAATGTAAATTTGACTACTTGAATCAATATAATGTAACTGTATATAAACATATATAATACAGTCTACGTAATTAAATGATCTTTCATGGAATTTTAGGATTTAGCCCTGCAGTGTATCTATATATATTGGTGCAGTTTCAGCATAGTCAGAGACGTGCAGGAAAAAAGAAAGGGGAGAGAGAGAGAGAACTATGTCTGTCTCTTCCCTGTGTCTGGGGATGAAAAAAGCTGAGTCCTGAGTGAGGCATTTTTGGACCTTTGCAAAAATTAGGGTTTGTTGATGTAACAAAGATTCTAATGCAGTCATTTCGCATTACATATGAGTACCTTCTAGTTATTTTACTAGAACATAGTTAAACTATTCATATTATCCCATAAAAAAACCTATTCATATTATCTGGAAAAATTCTCAACTTACCCCTGATTAAATATATTATTTTCAAAAACACACTCTCTCATATTTAACTTTTTATCCAATTCATAAAAACTTTTCAAAAAGTTAAATTAGAAAAAAGATCATCAATAATCAAAAAGCATATAAAAGCCAGAGTACAACTGTTCATCTACCCTTCTTAGACTTTTCAATTCACCTTTTTTCTTTCTTTTTTACTTTTTGTCTGCATTATCACCAATCACTTTATATCATTCATAGATGATTGAGTGATTTGATCGACACTCATTCATTCTTGCTTTCCTCTCACATACACCAAACATATTAATAGGTAGTAACCTTGCGCCCTTAATAATTCAAGTACATTTAACTTAAATAATAAACTTATGAACTGTTTCTCTGATACTAAGAGGGGAAAAAAAAACATAACTTTTTGCCACAGCTCACATAAAATACAATTGGTAATCGCCTTCCTAAAGAAAGGAAGGAGCAAAATTGGGTGAAACATATCAATGAAGCCTAGATATCCAAATATTTCAACGAATAAAGATACGAACAAATTCATGAAAAAATAAATAAATAAATAAAACAGGGGGCATTTATGGTTAAATACTCTGCCCTTTCCATGAACCCTTCCTTTTCTTCTGACCCATCTTTGGTCATTTTGTAGGGTTCAGAGGCCTCTATTTATTCTGAAGGACCCTAATCCCTATAAGTCTATGGCCTTTAACTTACTACTGCTATAGGGGTCCTTGGACTTGGGAGTCCCATGTAAGCAATACTAGGGGACATCCTGAATTTTGGGCTGGGCCTTGGTGAAGGAACTGGGCCGTAGTTGCTTGGGCGTGCAGAATTGGGCCTTGGTGACAAATTAACTTGTTCCAATGCTCTTGACTGCAGGTGAGCAGGATATTCACGCACACACCCAATCCTAGGCCCGGCGCCAGTTGACCACTTGCGAGACAACCTCTTGGACACGTCAAACGCTGGGGCCTTTTCTTCAACCTTCTCGCCATCCCCATCTTCAACAACAACCTCTTTAGCATCCTCTTTATTGTCTGTTGTGAAACCAATAATGTCTATCTCTTTACCATTATTGTCTTTGACATCAATTGTGATGTCTGGTTGTGAAGTGGGACCCTTTGCTCGTTTTGCTTCATTATTTTCAGTGAATGAAGGAGCATCATCATCAATTGCACACCTCTGCATTGACCAAGTACAAAAACAGATATCCATTAGGTCATTCGTTTGAGATTCAAACTTCTTCACCATTGAAATGATATAAAAATTTCTTTGATTGATTCGGCTTACTAAGGATTAGTACACCAGTCAAACATATAGGTCTAGATTCTGCTCGTTTAAAGTGGAAAAATGGCTCATTTCAATTATATTTTTGTTGTTTGGCCAGTTAAAAAGCTATTCTCAATAGCTTGGGATCATCCAAATCAACTGAACAATCAGAATTTTATCAAAATGAAGGTTAAAGTTAGTATCAGATTCAAACTTCTTCATCATGGAAATCATAAAACATCCTGAGATTCAGTTAGTACACAAGTCAATTGCGAGAATCTGATTCTCTGCATCTGAAGCAGAAAAATGATTCATTTCAAGGAAATTTCTGCTGTTCAATCAATTCAACGGTCTAAGTTTCTTCTTCTATTGAAAGCATCCAAATTAACTGCACAGACGGAATTTGATCAAAATGAAGGTCAAAGAGACACAGTTTTGTTACCTTAACGGTGGAGAGGTCTACATTGTGCTCCTCAAGAAAGCTAATGAATTCTTTGAAGTTCTCTTCTGTGGGGAGGTAGTGCCCGCTATAGGGCCAAATAGCCTGAAATGTTTTTAATAGAATAACAACACTTATAAGTGAATCTGCTTCAGGGAAAGTACCAGAAAGTTAAAAGTAATAGAATGAAAGTGAATGTGCTGAGTGATATATTATGTTAGTACCTCAAGGATACCCTCATGAGCCACTAATCTTCCTGCTGCTGTGGTTGCAGCTCCAGCCAGGAAGCTAGAATGCTGAAACAAACCCTTTTGCTTTCGTCCCACATACAAAGACCTTGTGGGGCTCAGAACAAATATCCATTTGGATTTATCATCAGTATCTAGAAGGCTTCCATTCTGTTTATACATCAGCTTGCCTCCTTCAACAATAACTTCATGTTCTTGCCTTTCTTTCTGCAATGGTACCACCAACAATCAGCTATATGAGATACAGCAACAGCAATTTTTAGAAAGCCCCAGGCTAAATAAAAAGTGAATCTTTATTGCTAGGTTTGTGAGATATGAATCTATATCCAATTCAATCGTATGTTATATATATATATATATATATATATATAAATATATATAGTGAGAACTTACTGGTCCAAGATACTTAATGCATTGGCGTTGAAGAGTGGACCTTGGACATTTCTCAAGATTTACTTCTCTGCCCTCTCCAACATCCAACCTAAATGTAAGCCATCCAGATGCCTATTAGTTCCTCATCTACCATCTTCAAGGTAATTACAGTGAAGATATTAAATTTCAGAATGAGTTTTTACCAGTAGAAAAACGGTTGGGTACTTTGGCTTTCAAACCAGACATCATAATAGAGGTGCAGATTGTGACCATATCGATGACGTGGATCAATCTGTACAATAAACAAATAAGAATGTAACATTGTCAATACTCAATAGATCAAATCTGTTGCAAGAGCTTCAAGGTCATAAAGGGTACACTTCTCAGCTAACATATTGGAATAATGTGTAAGAACGGAGTCACAGAAGGTTTCAAGGTCTTACAGCTTCAAGCCAATGTTGCAGGGCCAGTTTTTGTGCCTTCTCATCCTTGGACAAGCCTTTTCCAACCTGAGTGAAAATTCAGTTAGAAGCCAGACCCAAAAAAACTAAGAAAGATATTATGAGTTAGATTCCACAGCAATCCAGATTCTCTGTAGTTATAAAGTAATTGATGTATTCAGCTAGAGGTAAAGAAGAAAAGTGAGCCTCATGTGCATTCACACTTTTGTGTTATTCTTTCTCAAATGAATGATTTTACAAAGAGTCATATTCAAGCATGATGAAAGTAATTTATAGAAAATTGAATTTATAAGACTGAATACCTTAGCTGCTCTTGTCCTTGCTCTTGCCCACCGTGACACTGCAGTTTCTTGTTTCGCGACATCAAAGAAGGATACAGAACTCCGTTTAAGGGCAGCAAAGTCTAGTGCCTTCCACCTAAATCCATTAAGAACAGCCAATTAATAACACAAACGACAGGAATTCAAGCAAATAATACGAACAAATCAAATTGTATTGCTTATACCGAGACTACTAACCAGAGTTCCTCCACCACCACCGCACAGTCTGCAAGGTTTCTTCTAGTACGGTAACTTTTATAGACTTTCTGAAGCTTCGTTGCAGCAGCTTCAAGCTCACTGATGGGTCTTGGTGAAGAGAAAATTACTTCCTCAGGGAGAGACAATATAGGCACAGTTTTTCTTGGTAGACAATCAGAACTTGTGTTCTCCTCAATACTTGAACGATTTCCTTCAAGAATTACATTTTCAGGTCTGTGATCCTTCAACTTGCTTGAATTTCTGGTGATGTCTGATTCTTTTTTCTTTAAGCTGCTGCTTGATCTTAGAATCTTAGCCCCATCTCTGGAAGCAAAACCGAAGTTGAAAGAGAGACCAAATAATGAATGTCGAACAATCTCTTCCCAGGCTGATAAGAGTAAAGAAAGCGATAATCCCATAGAGCTGCAGACGTGTACAGAAGCTAGCACTTCAATTTGTTTGAGCTTTGAAGAAAGCACCCACTTATGTTGATTCCTGCCCAAATTGAAGATTTGTCAGACAAAGCAAAGTATGAGAATATATATTCAAATGGGTGAAAGAACTGAATTATCGAATCTTTTTGCCAATTAAAGAAGTTCTTGTCATCGTCTGTTAGAAGAGGAGAATCACCAGACTTCAGACGAAAGAAACGAGAAACAACCACAATCAAGAATGAAGGGGTATGTTTCTGAAGCTTACTGAAGACATAATAGCAAACAGCTTTAAAGCAAAATATCTTTCGGTGAATAATTTACCTTCTTCTTCCCGGATGACTGGTCAAGATATCAGTCTGGTATGCTCAATAGAAATCAAGTCCAACTCCAAAAACAAACTCAAACACCCACTAACTTAATGGAAATGATGAGACTGTCAAAGTGGCCTCTTGTTTATATATACACTTCCCGGAAGAAGAAAAACATGTTCCAAAGACGGGCCTTCAAATGCGTGTCAAAAACTGTAAAATGAAAAAAGGGCAGTCGTTGAATTCTACAACGAAACTTCTGACCTATCTTCGGATTGGAAAATAATGGTGGGCAGTGGTAATATTCAAAGTTTACTTTCTTCTTGTTTTCTTTCCGCGTTCAATAGCCACCGGTGGTAGTTTGATGAATTCAAAGCTCGACCTTTTTGGGATTTCCAAATAGATATTAGTGTTTAGTTTATATTTTTCCCCCCTTGGACTTCGGGGACCATTTGTACAGTGTCCATACAACGCAAGCGGGTCAAAGAAAGTAAGCTTTGCTGTGAGCTTTCCTTGAAAATTCAGGAATTGGCTTTTGATCCTCGTCGCGGGTTGGAATTTCGGAGCCATCTCTTCAGTCAAAGCGTGAGGTCACGTGCCGTGTCTCTCGCGTCCCGTGGACATTGATTTGCTAGTTACGTAATGTACGTCGATTGTAATAAATTTTTAGTAGCAGTACGCAAACAGCTCCATATATATTTTTTGTTTACTGAACAAGTTTATCATTACAAAATTTATTGGACAAGAATTTCTAAGATCCCAGATTTTTGTCTCCAACTCATTTTTGCTTTCTTTAATATAAGAGTTACCTAAAACTAATTAAATTAGTTAATTATAATAACTATGAGTTAACTTTCATAAACTATCATTTCCAATCATATGTATTAAAATCATTTCTTAATTAAAAATTTCTTACAATTAACAAAGATATTTTTTAAAAAAATCATAAATTTAGGAGATAAAATGAATTAATATTTTATATTTAAGACCAAAACTAATCTCCCAGCTACCTTTTATATAAAAAAAGAAAGGTAGTATAACCTTTTTTTTCCATCTATGTATTTATTTATTATTATGTTGACTTTGCTTAAATGAGGTATAATGTATATTAAATAAGGATAAAGTTGAAAAGTTGTTGAATTTTAAATAAAAGTTAATAAAGTTTAAGGTTTTTCTTTGTCCGTGTGAAATATGCTAAAAGTGACCTATAAATAGGACCACAGGAGCATCTTATGATCTCCCTGTATATTTCATTTCAACATCATTTTCATATTTAAATTTTCTTTAATTTGAATTTCTTAATTATATCCTTTGCTTTAAGTTTGCCCATTTATTTTATTTGATTTTAGATTAATTCTTTAAGTTTCATATTAGTGTATTCAATTTAAACATGTTTACTCCTAGTATGCTGCTATAAGAGAAATAAAAAATTAAAAGTAATATCGATACAACTAATAAGTTTATATAAAAAGTTATTGTGCTATTTATAAATAGAATGATAAAATATAGTAAACTTAGATCCCAATGTCATTAAATTATTCTTCAACTTGGTGGTAACACGTAAGTGTGTACCAACCAGTCTGGTCAAAAAAAAAATTGTGTACCAACCAGTAAGTCCTGCCTAAACACTTAATAAACATGAAAACTTTTAATGCTGTCTATTAAAGTGGTTACAGCTTATTGATCGAAAATCAAAGTCAAATTTTCCTCTAAACTTTTTTTTTTGTGAGAATGACTCTCTTTTTTTTTTTTTAACCGACCATTCCCTTAAAATGGTTTAATTAATTTCTATGAATTTTTTAGGAACTATTCTGAAATTAAATTATCGTGTGAAATGATAAAATTATTATCAGCGAAATTAGTTTTCATTATTTTAACTTCTGATGTTATTTGTTAAATTAAAATTCTTATTAAGTGATTATTGTTATTGATATTTGGTAAGAAATTTTTATAAAATTAGTAATGACTGTCTTTATTAATAATACATTAAATATATCTTTATGTGAGACCGACTTGTTGCTTTCTTGTCTAAAGATTAGGTTCAAATTATGGAGGCATATCTTGTTTCCTTTTATTCGTTTTTATATAAAAATATGTGGAGGTCATTTATTATTAAATGTTTTTCCTTTTTCCAAAGATATTTTTTTGCCACACTTTTTTTTTATTTTCCAAATATTCAAGTCTTTCATTTACCTCCAACCTCCAAAGACTCAATTGTCAATTGTCATATTTTCAAGCAAGAAAATTGATATTTTATAAACTAGTATTTATTAAATCATAAGAATTTAATTCTGAATTCCTTTTTTGCCTTTTTTGTGCTAGGGATCTTGCCATATCGACTTACTTGGAAAAAGGAATCCTAAATAAAGTTCATCTCTGTATCCCAATATCGGAACCATCCTAATAAATGGTTTCGGACTAAATTTTTTACACTTAACAAGTCAACTTATATGGTTGTTACAATAGTAAGAGTAATAATAATAATAATAATATAATAATAATAATAATAATATTATTATTATTATTGCTGCTGCTGCTGCAAAACAATTTGCCAATGGCAAAGCGCGTGGGTTTAATATATTACGTGGAATAATTATCGGGAGGCGGAGAATAAATTATATTCCTCCGGTCCTTAATATAGGATCCAATTTTTAAGTTGGTTTTGGTCCTAAATATAAGACCCATTTCTTGTATTTATCAATTTTCTCTAAATTACCCCTATAAATACTGTCTCAACTATAATCAAGTAGAAGAAGAATAGGGGTATTAAGAAAGATGATTATGGTGTTTTAGAAAAATGTATCACTTTTCTTATAATTAACTAGCTTACCTAACTTCCTTAATTTAATCAAATTAGTTAAATGGGTCTTATATTAAAGACGGGAGGAGTACAATAACTAATTTGTCCTCTAATTTTTGGAATCTAGCCCTTTTTCCTTTCTTTTTCTCTCTCTGTTTTTTTTTTTGAGCCAACCAACCTAACCTTTTCTTTTCCTTTTTTTTTTTTTCAAAACCACGTGTTTTATCATCAAATTATTTTATTTTGTGGTAAAGTTGGATGGTCAGCTTTTAATTCCTTCTTCGTGCTTTCCTGGTCTCTAGTGTAGATGAATGAATGGATAATGTCCAAATGGGAATAGTTTATTCATTGGCAGTCAACTTTTGTCTTTTTTTTTTTGTTTAAAGACAGGTTTATTTAAAAAGTGAAATGGTACATAAAGTATTCACACCTTTACATGATAAAACCGTGGACAATTACGGAAGCCTAATTACAACTGAAAAAGAACCCAGAAAAACAAAACAGTAACATAAACTTAAAAACTAATAAGAGCAAAATTAAAAAATATATGCACCCCCTGAATCAAGAATGATTTATGGAAAGCTAATTGATATAAAAAAAATTAGTTAAATTAATTATTTATAATAAATATGTATATTGCTATATTGATTCCTCTTGATAGTAATATATACATACATATATAAAAAAGGAGAGAAGGTAACCATATGGCACAGGCTATTATGCTATAAAATTACATAAATGTCATTATCTTCTTTTTTGGGCCACCTACGTACATAAATGTCATCATCAATTTATCATCTCATGCATGATGGTATTTCTTTAAATATTGCGGCAGGGAAGGGCAGGGATAACAATTAATGCGTTGCTTTCTTTAATTTGGGGATGAATAGTTTTTTTTTTTTTGGCCAGCAATTTGGGGCTGAATATTTAATGCATTGTTTTGATAAGAGCCATCAAATGATGGGCATGTTCATGTGGTCCGACCCTTCAGCTTGCTCGCCTCAACCCAAGGAAAAATGCTCAGTCCGATCGGGGAAGGCTAACTGCGGGCGGGGTCGGGTCTAGAACCGGAAAAACAGACCGAACCCGTCGGGCTGATCTGTTTAGGCCCTGAAATTATGAGGATCAAGCTTGATATTTTTCCCTTCAAATGGAAAATAAGTCCTGGAGGGCTGAGGGCTAAGGGCTAAGGGCTTAAAAGGGCTGGTCCTGAAGGGCCGCTGACCTATCCTTTTATAAATTTTTTTTGTTTTTTAAATTTTTTTTAGATAATTCTAATGTTATTAATTTTTTACATTATTAATAATATTTCAAATATTTAGTTATTATTATCATTTTAAAATTAAATTTAGCGTTAGACAATAATTTATCCAATTACATTTTTAAAAAATGGGTTAATTTGGATTTTAATAATGATTTGATTTATATTATATGTGTTGATATTTTTAAACTATATATATATATTTGATCATAGAGTATTTTTATACTTATATAACTTGTGATTGTATAATTTGAATTAGAAATTCATGAGTTTCAACAACAATGTTTCTCACATTAAAGTAAAATAATAGCTAGATTGTAAAATTTAAAAATAAAATTCCTATAAAGAAGAAAAACTTGATATTTTTGTTACCAAAGAAAAGCATACTTATGAAGAAGAGTAATTAATTATAGTAATGATGAAGTTTCAAAAGATTAATGATAGTATTTATTTATTGCACAATTGCACTGTAGATAAACTTTTGGATGTTGTTATCTTGTTAATGAATGTTTTAGATGTTCTTAGATGTTGATGGATATTTATATATGATGATATTTTATATTTGTGACTTAATTTTATTGATATTTATGTCTTTTTTTAATAATTTCATTGGGTTATTTTTATTTTTTATAAAAAAATATGATAAATATAAAAAATAGTATTTTTTCTTAAAGGGGCCAAAAGCCCGCGCGCCGGCTCTAAACCCTGTAGTTTAAGAGCCAGACCTAGCAAATTGGGATATTTTTAAAATTTCAGCCCTGGAGGGCCGGCCCTTTTAAGCCCGTCAGCCCTGAAGAGCCAGCCCTGATTCTCACCTCTAGTCGAGTCATGTGCAAGGCATGTTACTCTGCTTGTTTGGCCTTGTCTAAAATATATATATATATATATATATATGAATATATACTCTTTCGATTCTTAATATAAGACTTATTTAACTAATTTGATTAGATTAAAAAAGTTAGGTAAGTTATTTAATTATAAAAAATATGATATGTTTCTCCTAAACACTATAATCATCTTCTTTAATATTTCCCTTCTCTCTTCTACTTAATTATGATTG